GACAATGACTGAAAATGATTAATGGAAGACATGAATCTTCAAATTTAGGAAATACAATGAACCAAGGGTAAATAAAAATAATACTACAGAACAATATAAACAAAAAGAAAAAAATCTTAAAAAGCAACCAGAAAGAAAAGATTACCACTCCACACCCCCCCCCCACACACACACACAAATGACAACCTGATGGTACAATTTCTCCATGGCAGTCATAGAAACCAGAAATAATAAAATAGCTTCAAAATGATGAAAAGAAATAACTGTTAATGTAGAATTTTGTTTCTAGCTAAATTATTCAAGAATCAAAGTGAACTAAAGACTTTTTCAGTTAAAGACTGAGAGACTTTAGGATAACAGATCTTCACTGAAAGATCTACCGAAATAAGTCCCACACGAATAAATGAAATGAATTCAGATTATAAACATGATAAATAAAAGAACAGTTAACAAAAAAATTTGATAAAGATCCTATTTAATCTAAACCAATAAGAACTAGAACTAGAACATAGTATAAAACCATGTTAAATAATATCAATATCTACTTTGGAGGAACCTGTATATATAAAAACATTAAAACCAAAATGTTGGAAAACAATAATAATGGGTCATCAAAGTTACAGTGTTGTATGATCCTTTCATTTGTTTGAGAGTATAATATAGGGATCTTAATTAACTTAAGGCTTTAACTCATGTATGGAAACTGAAGTTTTAAGGGTAATTGCAAAAGAAGCTAAATAAAATCTGTAATCTCAAAAGTCATAGAGGGAAAGTAAACTAAAGAAAACTATCAATTTATTAGTAGGCAAGAAAAAAGGGAGAAATGACTGAAGAAATCAGATTAACATAAAGCACACAGGAGACAACAGAAACAAATTCGAATTTATTACTAGTTGAAATATATAGAAATGTACTAAATTTACTAGACAGAGATTGACAGAATTGTAAAATCTAGCTCTATATTCTATACTATCATTCAGAACTCAGGTTGAATTTAAAGGGAGAGGAAAGATACAGTAGATAGATACTATCTAAAGAAAGATGGAGTAGCTATATATGCATCAGTTAAAATGGAGTTCAAGACAAAAAGCATTATAAATGATACTAAGTCACTTTATTATAAAAAAAAGTTTAAACACCGAAAAGTTTATAATTGTAAAGTGGTATGCACCTACAAAATAGATTTGTTAAAAAAAAATTGACAACTTTAAGGAGATTTTGTCACGTTTGTTATCATGATGGTATATATTTACTACATGTCATTATATTATCTATATTTATATATTATAAATATATTTGTCTAAAATAATAAATAATGACCAAATTGTATTTATCCCAGCAATACAAGAGTAGTAAAATTAGGAAATCTATAAATGTAATTGACCATATTAACAGATTAAAAAGGGTCCAGGGAAGCTATAGCATCTCAATTACCGTGTAACAAAAGATTTAATAAAATTCAATACCTTTTACAAACATGCACAAAATTGTTAGCAAACTGGAATATAAGGAAGTATCCATAACCTCATGAAGTGTAACTACTTAAAATTTATAGCAAGCATCATTTTTTTATTATTCCCTTTAAAATCAAGAAAAGGATATTTTAACACATTTCGATCAACTATCAATTAGTCAAACAGTTGAAAAAATAGTATAGAGATAGCTTTAAACAACACAAGCTTAATTTCCATGACATAAAGAACCTGGATCCTAATAAATGAAATACACAAGTCTCAACAAATGTCTAAGAATTACTTTCAGAGAGATCATAATCTTTGAACATAATACTATAAAATTAGTAGTCAAGACGAAAAATATACCCTTGAATTCCCATACTTTGGGGAAGTTAATAAAAAACAAAACACTTCTAAGTAACTTTTATAGCAAATAAGAAACCATCATATAAATTTTAAAAACTTAGAAATAAACAATAATGAAAATACTATATCAAAACATGGGATGCAGTAATGTCTGAGATTGTCTTTAAGATAACATGGTTTGCATTTTTCTCCACGTATTTTACTTTTACAAAAAGTTTATTTCAAAAAAAATGAAGAAATAGAAATCTCAAATAGATCTATAATGGCTAAAGAAAATTGAGCCAATATTTAAAAATCCACCCACCAAGAATAAAAATTCCAGGACCAGATGGTTTTTCTGTTTAATTCTATCAGACTTTCAAGAAACAAGTTATTTTTATCTTATACAAACTGTACCAGAGCACAGAAAAGAATGGCCAACTTATTTTATGAGGCTAGAATAAGGCCACTCCCCAAAACAAAACAAAAAAAAGGACAGTATGGGAAAGTTATGGTTTAGTTTCTCAATTGTGCAAATAGACATAAAAAAATGTAAAAACATTTTGAACCCCCAAAAAAAGATCAAATAGAAAATTAATGTAGTTTGCTATATTAATAGATTAATGGAGAGATTTAGATCAGTTGTCCTTAAAATGTGGTCTGGGAAGACACACACATATATATTGACAACGTGTTTCCTGTGTTAGCTAATGGCAATGCATTCTATAAAGTAGTTTGTAAAAGCAAAATACTGGAAAGAACCTCACTGCCCAGCAAGAGGAAAAATGATAGATAGATACAATGGTTTACTAGAAGCAGTTAAAGTGAATGCACCAAAGCTAATGTATCAACATGGATTAATATCATAAAGGCAGGGAGGGAAAAAAGAGAAGAATGTGTGTGGCATGATACCAGATATATAAAACATTCAAAAGCAATTATACATAACATGTATAGACACAAACATGTGTGATAGAAGTATGAAAGAATGCTTAAGAATAATACACTCCCATTTCAGGACAGCAGTCACAACAGGGAAGGGAGCAGAGTGGGATCATTAAAGATGATGCACGGGGGGCTCGATTTTATCTATAACGTTTTATTCTTCACATCAGTGGAAGATAATGTGAAGACTCATCATCTGTTTTCTGTGCCTAAAATATTTTATAATCTTAAAAACAGTTTTTCTAGAAACCAGTCATTTGAAGAGGATTGAAGGAAGTAAATAGTGTTTAGTGTGTGATGGCTATTTTCAAATATTTGAAGGGACATCACATAAAAGGAAAACAATGAATGTGTTCTGTTTTGCTAACGTGTGTACAAGCATTTAACCATAAAGTCACACACATATTACTATTACTAGTTCAGAGAACAGAATTAGGTCACGTGGATGAAATTATGAGGAGGGCACATTTGGACCCAGTATAGAGACATATGTTAGGAACCAGAGGCAGCGTAACATTGTAGGGAGAGCAGGACATTTGGAGCCGCCCTGCCTGACTTCAGTTCTGGCTCTGCCCTTAGCAGGCAGTATGAGTGGGGCAGGTTGTTTAACCTCTATGTGTCTGCTTCCCATTCTGTAAAATAAGGATGATAATAGTGCCTACCCTCATATAAAGTGCTTAGATCAGTGCTTGCTACACAGCAAGCACTACAAGCTTGTAAAAATAAATCAAATCTGCCAGATAGAGAGCCTGCCTTGTAAAGCGGTAAGCTCTTTGAGGGCTCATGGAAAGGCTGAATAAAGCTCTGTTAAGGGTGGTATAGATGTATCCTTCCTTTTTGGTCTAGATTAGTACTCCTCAAATTTCAGTATGCGTTTGAAACACATGGGGAGCTTGCAAAAATGTATGTCTGAGTCAGTAAGTCTGGGATGGAGCCTGAGATCCTTTATTCTAACAGGTGGTGCCAATGCTATGGGTTTCCTAGACTACACCTTGAGTAGCAGAGCTCTACATGGCCTTTCCCTGTGGCCATACATCATAGTTTCAAAGATGCCTAGTTCTTATTTCTGATTAACAGTCAATCTGCAGTAAATTCTAAATATATTTATCTTTCAAAACCAACTTTTAACCACTCCATTAACGAATAATTTGAACACTAAAACGATTAAGAATTTATAGGCAGCTTAGGATGACTTTTTATACAAATGTATATCTTTTCATAATATAGATAATTATATAATTTTTAATAAATTCAGCTTTTGGGGGGTTTTCTTAAACAGAAACACTTACAATGAGAAATTAAAACAGTAAAATAGAGGGGAGGCAGTTCCTGAATCATTTTGGAATCCACGTCAGATTTATATTTCATATGACAAAGAAGATGTCGATCTAGATTTCCAAATAAGGGAGTGAAAGAAGGGAAACCATATTTGAGGGCAGGAAAAATTAGAAAGAAGAAGTAAGTCATTATAAGTAAGAAGAAGTGAAAAGAAAAAGTAAAGAAGTGTCATTTTTTTTTTAAGTTTGAAGGTGTGATTCTGAGAAATGTTCAAGAGAAAGACCAGTGGGATTAACATTTTATATTAATTTAACAATAAGTTGAATAGGCAAATTAGACTCAGTGTATCAGAGGACTCTGGTGAATCATCTTGGGCCCTGGGAGGAGTCCGACCTATCTGATACGGACACAACTGGACCTCCAGGTTCGAGCTGAAATATGAGTATGTTTTGAAGGAACACTGACACAGAACAGAAACCCAGAGAATGGTTTGGTGCTTGGAGATGGCTGATGTAGGAAGTTCTGGATGATTTGGTCTGAATTATACTCTCTGCTTTCTTTCCGTCAGGGAGTCCTCAATGATGACAGTTGACATAGAGCCAAAGGGAAATCCCAGTGAGTCTATGATGGTTATGTACCCAGTGTTGGGGTTTTTGGCCACAGAGTGGCTCATGATTATTCAACATAAAGCTATTGGAATAAACTTCTGCTGCCCCCAGAGCACAATTTACAAATGTTCCTAGATCTGAAATGGCCACTGAGTAAAAGGAAAGTGAGGTGGCTGTGACCAGGACATATTAGTTTTTCACAGCTCTACTTTTTGAGATTGAAGAAGGGAGTTTCCAGGATCTATGTTTTGTTTCAAAAAAGAAACATGTAAGAGAAGTCAAGGAAAGATAGAAGTAGGCATTTAAGCAGATAATTCTACAGTTTTCTTTAAATTGGGGTTATTTTAAATAGTTGTAGTTTTCTACTTACCACCACTGCACAGAGGTTATATTTAGGATGTTTCCGAAAAATTGGACAAATATAAGGAGTAAGATCCAAGTTAGTGAGTGGGTAATGAATATCTGTTCTCAATTTCCTTTTTGTTGTACCCAAAATGTCAAACCTGGAGAGATAATAAATGTGTGAAATATAAAATAAGCTTGTGAACCATTCACGAGGGAAGTCTGCATACTTTGATAAATTCCAAGTATAGTTAAAAGTAATTTCTTAGAAAGATTATTTGGTACAAAACCTCCACATAAATTTTTTTTCTTATTTACATATATTTAGAACCTCCACATCCAAAGGTCTCGCCAAAACTGAGACTGGAGTGGACCAGGAACTGGAGTCAGCGTTTGAGACAGTGTAGAGTCAATCTAGTGAGAGAAAAAGAAAAAGAGAAAGCCAGTAGCGAAACTGGGGAAGTAGAAATCACAGTGATAACTTCCTGGAGACTTCACTCCAGCTGATGCTGTACTGTTCACTCTAACCAAGCTGACTCGGCTTTCCTTATCTTGATTTCAGCATGCATTATCTGGGCAGTGTCCTGTCTTCCAGCTCTGAGGTTTTAATATACCTTTAATACGATAAAATTTAGTGAAAGTCTTGTCACATTCTCTATTTGTTATATAGATCAGCAGATCCCAAAGCTGAGCTCACATGAGAATCACCCTGGAGCTTCTTAAAAAATAAGTTATATTCCTTTGGGAAAAAATGGATGATATAAAATTATTGTTAAATTTCTTGGGCGTGATAATTAATGGTGTAGTGATTATGTAGGAGAATGTCCTTATTCTCAAGTGATACATGCTGAAGCATTTAAGCATGAAATGTCATGATGTTTGCTTCTAAATTCAGATGATTCCACTAATAAAATGGAAAGGAAGGAGGGAGGGAAGGAGGGAAGGTGAATGGAACAGAAAGACAGAAAGAGAAAAGAAATGTGGCAAAGTGTTACCAACTAATTAAGATTTTAGGGTATATGGGTATTCATTATACATTTTTGCAACTTTTTTTGTGTATTTGAAAACTTTTTAAAATAAAAATTGGGGAGTGGCTATAAAAATTAAAATAGTGATGCTTAGACTCTACCTCAGTCCTGTGGAATCAGAATTCCCAAGGGTGGGGTCAGGGAATTTATTTTTTAAAAGCGCCCAAAGTGAGTGCCAAATGTCTATCAAGAGATGAATAAACAAAATATGATATACACACGATGGAATATCATCCAGCCATAAAAAGGAATGAACTTCTTTGGCACATGTCACAACATGGATGAACTTTGAAAACATGCTAAGTGAAATAGGCCAGCAAAAAGGATAAATGTGTAATTCCACTTACACGAAGTACCAAGAATAGGCAAATTTATAGACACAGAACATAGAAGTTGCCAGGGGTTGAGGGGAGGCAGAATGGGTAGTTATTGCTTAATGGGGTACACAGTTTCTGTTTGGGGTGATGAAAAAGTTTTGGAAATAGTGGTGATGGTTGCATAACATTGTGAATATAATTAAAGCCAATGAAGTATGCACTTAAAATGGTTAAAATGGTAAATTTCATGTTCATATATTTACCACAAATTTTTTGACTTTTTTTTTTTTTGGTGACATTGGTTAACAATTTTACCACAAAATTTTTAAATTTAATGTAATATATTGAATATCACTGAATTGTACACTTTAAATAGGTAAATTACATGGTATGTGAATTATATCTTGATAAAGCTGTTCAAAAAAATCTCATAAAATGTCAAAATCCATACCTTTTTAAGTGAAAGATCATTATTTTTGGTGCTTTGGAAATACTGGCCCTCACGGCTGTTTCTTGCTTGGTTTCACAAAAGGAACAGTGAATTTGGTTGTTCCAGGTCAGTGTGTCTTGTTGGAAAAAACATTGGAGACAGTCCTGCTGAGGTAAAAAGCATTTGGTGACCAAAATGGATCAACGGCAACCTGGAATCTGTTTATATTAGAACTTCGAAAGAGCTGTAGAAATGTATTCCTTGATGCTTTCTCAAAGTCAACAGGTCTAGGAAATACCAGTATCATAAGCTGCAACCTGGATAGGTATAAAATCTACTTTGCAAGAGAGATGCTTCTTTCTCGCTTGGTTCCTGAAATGGATCCAAGTGCCCATCCCACTTCTAATCTCTTAATCAGTATTTTAACATTTCTGGTTTATTTCAGAATAATATTGACTGTGCAGTTTCCACTAACCAAGTCAGGCAGCTGTTTTACATTATTTATCTCATCACAAAAGTGATCTGGTTATTGAATAATGATCATATCTCAGTGTTTTGAGGTGGCCCATAATAAAGACAGCAGAACAGAGAAAATTAGATCACATGCCCACAGAAGACATCCTCAGTGTAGCCAGGCCTCCCGGTTCTGCAAACCATTAACCTAAAGAGGAAGAGGAGCACAGATTCTATTTTCAGTGGACATGTCACCACATCCTTTAGAGTCTCCGGAATTTGATTCCAGCAATCTGTAGCAGTTTGATCTGAGAACAAGTCCAGTTCTGCATACGTAGTAAGATTCTATTCTCCAATTCTGATATGTGAAAACTTTTAATTAATTTATTTATTTTAGGCGAGGCAACCCTTGGTTGACCTCACAAATTGCAAGGACCTTGTCAGCTTACAATCCCTTATTTTTTTATTCTTTACGCCTACAGCACCTGGTCTTCCTAGGTTGAAAACTTTTAGTAATAAATGTGCTTTCATAAGATAGGAAGAAAAATACAAATGTGTATTATTCTGCAAGGAAACATATTTGCCCCTGCCTCCTAACTCTTCCTTGCCTTCTACCACCACCATGCTCTCTGTTTACAGATTTCTCATACTATGGTGAAGGAAATTCAAGAGGTAAACTAAGGCACCAGATTCCATTCTATCTTCCCATTTCACAGCTTTTGTCTAAAACATAAGAGCTCAAGATGAGTCAGAATCCTTTATATCTAGTTCCCAAATAGAACCCACTTACCCATCTGTGGTAAGGGCAGGCCATACCTTTTTTTGTAAGAAAGTATAAATCCCCTATATGTACCAAGCCATTTCAGTACTGAATAAATCCCATTTATTTTTTTTCAGTTTCACAGTGAGGCTCTTTTATTGAGTACATTTAGAAATACATCTGAATTCACAGTAACTTTTGGCTGTATATCACTTTTCTATAAAACATTATCATCATGGGCTTCCAATTTCTTTAAGTTATAAAGCAGCCTCTTTCATACCAGAAAAGGTAGGAAACAGCCCTGAGAAAATCCAGGGCTGGGGGAGAGCAAGGCAAAAGAAGTGTCCAGGAATAAGAGTCCCTACCTGAAGAGAGCACTCGTATTCAGATGGAATGGGGAGGGAGAGGATGGTGAAGACTTCATTCTTGTAGGTACAGTTCTCACACTTTAAACACATGATACTATAATTGAGCTGCCCTTCAAACAGCCGGGTGATGATGGAGGACTCATTGGCAGTCACCTTCCTGCAGCATCTTGGAATAGATGTTTTCTCATAGGCCCTTCTTCGGTGGTACTGAATCAAGGAACAAATTTGTCCCAAATCAACTATTGGTGATCAAAAAAATTTTTAATAGAATGACTTGATTTTTTCTATCGGAATGATACATTATTACCAGAAACCATATTGTGGATTCAGACAATAAATAGTGTAAGGTGAGTAAATATTTTATGTGTGGTTTCTGGTAATTCAGTTATTTCCCTCCTTAAGTGAAGCTAAGGAATTATGACATCCTAACCTGGTAAAACACATGACATTGGATGTCCTCATAAGCTGACAGCCTATGATAATGTGACATAGGGTCCTGGAGGAAGTTTTTCCTGGGAAGAGGGTAAGTAAGCTGTTAGACTAGCTGTTAGTTATGCAAGCTGATATAGAGGTAAAATCAAGAAATTTAGCTCTCCTCCAGTCCCTTCAGATTATGTTCCCTAGCCTCTTCTCCTTTCACCATTAGAAAACTTTCTAAAAAGAGCAAATCTTAAATTCCTAAGGCAGCCCTATTTAACTAGCCTTGTAGCCTGAATCTAGCTCACACTCAGGAACAGCTTGGCCAGAAGCACATTCTGACTTCTCAGTGATGTTACAGCCTCAGTAGAATATACATATGGAAGACTCATTAGCTCCACAGTCATCTCTACTTTGCAGCTATGCACACCGCTCTACTTTGGCTTGCTTCTTTCATCACACATTGCTGCCCAGGTCTTCTACCCTAAAGATACTTTAATGCCCCAAAGTCCAAGTTTGATCATGGAAACCAGAATCCTATTTATTTCAGACTGGCTGACTGTGAGGACCTATGTGATTTTACTGACCACAACCCTCCCCTCTGGCTAAATAAAGTGCTGCGTGAATATCTTATTATAGTCAAAATGAAAAATGGAACTAAAGATTACAGATGAGAATGATTAATGACTATAGTTTGCGATCTTTTATGCTAAGTATTTCCTGAATGTTACCTATGAGGTAAGCTAACATCAGCACAAAAACACTGTATAAAGCCAAGGACATGTCTTTGGAGAGTGAGGGTCTCCCATCAAGGTTGAAGGCAGTGAGTCTTGAAATAAAGGCAAAACTCTTAGTAATTGGCAATTTCCTGTTTTGTTAAATGTATGTCCTAATCCAATGAAGAACACAAGTCAGGCATGTTTGATATGAAGGTGTTTGTGGTGTAGATCTGTCCTTTAATCTAATACCAATCTTTCTAGTTTCTTGGGTTCGTAGTTACCAAGAACATTTATTGTAAGTTGCAGAGTTCTACATGTTACATCTCATGAGGAATATATTTTATTAAAATATGTGATTTTCACTTTATTTATTTATATTAAAAAATGTTTTCAGCATTAAAAACAATTTATTGTAGTTTTGGTGTAGTTCGTACATTCCTGTGGTAGCTCTTATTCGCAGATCCCTCATTCAGATGTGCTTGTGTGCAGGTTGGGTGTTTTTTGTTGAGTTTTAGATGTTGAGTTATTGTTATTTCAAGGGGAGAGATCTGGGGACATCTCTCACTCTGCCATGCTTCTGACATCACTCCTCCTGTGATTTTCACTTTTAAAAAAGAGTCCATGAAGATGTTATTTGCAAAGGGAACTACATATTAGTGGTTCCAACCTCTGCTTACCACTGGACATACCAAGTGAGCAGTCCCTGAAGATGGCCCCAGACTTTCTGACTCAGTAACACTGGAGTGAGGGCCGTAAAACTGACTTCATAAAAATCCTCCTGGATGATTCTGATGATCAGCTAAGTTTGGTTAATACAGACCTATTCAAATATTAACTTGAGTGTTCCCCATAGAACTCCCAGCACCTATGCTTGGCACAGGTAGGCAATATTACTAAACAAAGAAAAGAATGAAAAATGAAAGTTGCTGATAGAGCTAAAGTTCTATCCTATTTCAAGGCCATTAATTCTATTACCTTTTTCAGAGCCTCATGAAGTTCATTCAGGACATAAATCAAGAATTCCTGAGCATCTTGTTGTGTCTTTTTCATAAGCGCTGGGTAGAGGTTGCCAAGAGCCGACCGAAATATTTCTGGTGAGACACAGTCTGAGTCTCCAAGCCACATGTCTGTCATCACATAGGCAAAAGCGGTGGCGACCTCACTGTAATCCCTTGGAAGAAGGAAGGGGAATGTTTCCGGCTGATTTAATGGGGAAAAAAGACACCTAAAAACTCAAGCATATGGCCGTCAGACCAAAAATAAAGCTGCATTAATTTCTGAGTGACCTTCCTGCTTTTACCCTAGAAATGGTATCTGGGATGCTGCAGTCTCTACTGACTCATTTAGCCCTTAATAGGGATTCCAGCAAATTTCTTCCCTAACCTCACCTTGGGGGAGCAGAGGAAGGGGCTGGACTGCAGGGGATGCGAATGGTCTTACTTTTGAAGAGCAGTAATGTACTTTCCGGAGAGAAAGTATTCCACCAGCGGTGAGATGCTGCAGAGACACTGTAAGATGGCATTCATGTAGCACGTGTTGCCCAAGTTCCTCAGGCCAGTCACACCCTGGAAATGGGGCTGGTTCTCATCAGCTTCTTTAGCTGGAAAGGTATCATAGTGATCTGTGCACTCTGCGCTGTGTTGGTGCCACGTAGAAAGAAAGGAAAGCATTTCGAGGGAACAAAATATGTACAAATGACAATAAGGGCCTCCAACCTCATGATACAAAGAAGAGTTCTTAATAAGACTTCTGTTAAATTAATTCCCTACCAAGGACAAAAGTATTCAAACCTGGAGTCTAAAATTGCATTTCTTAGCCCAGAACTCTTTGAACAGTGTCGCAGCCAAATAAGCAGAGATAAAAGTTTCTGCCTAAAACCAAAGCAAGAGGACAGAAAATATCAGCCTTTCAGAATCCGAGACTTGCTTGGCTAAAAATGCAAACTTCCCCTCTAAATAACAAAGTATTTCCTTTTTTCTGGACAAGTTATTTAATTTTCATTAGTAGTAATAATATTAGATAGTAGTTAATAATGACAATAACCATCTTGTATTGCATTTTCACATTTAATTCTTTAAACAATTCTTTGGGGTAGGTATAATTACTTTTAAATCTTGTGTTATAGATATCATGTGTAAGTGGTTTAGTCATTTGCCCATGGCAATATATTTAGTGATGTGCAGCGCTATGTAAAGAGAAGAAATATTTATCTACCTACCTACTATCTAAGAGTTATTTGGATTTATTAATCATATGTTGAGAGTGTGTGTATTACATACATATATAGAGACAGAGCATAGTATATCCAAGTTATATACATATATTAAGAGTATGTATATATGTATCTATGTATACATATATATACATATAAAAACACACATATACAGAAAGGAAAAAAGAGAAAGAGCATAGACTTTGTAAACAGACCCTAGTTTAAATCCTAACTCTGCCACTTACTGCTTGCATGGTCTAGGACTCTCATGCCTTCTTCTCATCTATAAAACAGGAGTACTAATACCTGCCTTATAGGTTTATTGTAAGGATTAGATTAAATGATACAAGGCAGGTGGCACAGAATACAGTTAATAAGTGATAACTTAAAATATTTTTAAAGAAGTGACTGATCTAAGATGTCCTTAAGAGTAAGCTATAGAATTAAAGCATCCATGTGATTCACCAGACTTGCACAGAGTTGGGAACAAACCGTGGACTCCCAAGGTTCTCTGCACAGAGCTATTACACCAGGAAGCCCAGAGTCATTGTCCTTTAGGATTTGTCTTTCCATCTACTGTGTTTAAAAGTGGATCTCCATGAGATGGCTACCTCACCTCAGTTCCTCTACAAATCTGCCAGTTTGAAAAATGGTTACTGTTGCATGGATGGTCATTTTCACTTTTATTTACCAGTGTCATGGGAGGCCCTGGATTGTCTGTCACTCTTTAGGAATATCTATTGCCTAGATACTAAGTAACATCTTTCCTTCCTTTTGGGGGACTGCCAATGGTCAAAGCTGGGGGAACCCTTCCAAATGTGGCATGTATCCCTACCCCCCTAGCTGAGCTTATCTAGAAAGCTGTAATAGATAGAAGCTCACAGAACATAGTAGATACCGAAGTCATCGGCGGGCAAAGGCCGCTCCGAAGTCATCTTGATGAAACCACGGTGGGCTTTTCACTTCTCTTTAGGAGCGACAGCTAATTCTTTCACCTTCATTTCTCTGAACCTGTTACTTTGGCTCTTTTTGTTTGTAATAAAGGATTTATATGTTCCTCCCTCCCTTTTGGTAGCTGCAAACTGACTTATCTGTTCTTCAGGTACATTCCAACTTGGATTTTTTATGCATCATAATCCTTTCCATTCCAATATTCTAGCATGTTGCCATGAGTTACTGTTACTTGGTTGCTTAAAAAACTTTTCGCAGACTAGATATCAGAGAATGAACTAAATATATAACACCTCTTCCTCCATCACTCAGCTTCTCTTATGTACATGTATTATACACATACACTGAATCAGTGACTATTATGGCAACCCTGCCCACTTTGGGCACTCGTCCTCTCTCCTTAATTCAGAATCTGTAGTGACTGCACCACTCCTAGGACCCGGAGGACTGTTTCTCACCCTGGGGAGGGAGGCAGTTGGATTTTGCTGCTTCTAAAAACACAGCATTGGGATAGACTGAAGTATTTCTCCTCATGGTCATCAATTATAGTGCAAAGGGGATGCAAATGTACACACACACACACACACACACACACACACACACACACACAATTCCACTAGCGCACCATACAGGGCAAATAGTTTATCATAAAATAAAAGCCGAGAAGTAGCAGAGCACACATGAGCTCCTGAGCTCTCATTTTCTTTATAGAGAACCGTGCTTAAGAAAGCTTTTCAGTCGGCAGGCCCTCCCGCCAATGCTCTATCTAGGTGAAAAGAGGTCAGAGAATATAGGCAACCATGTAGCATGAAAGCAGCCTGGCCGAGGAAGTGGCCTTGTGAGAGTGGGGAGCCACCGGAACTCCAAAGCTGGTACCAGCCTCTTCTTCTTTTGCACTTAGAATCTGTAGGGAGTAGGTAAAGAGTGAGCCTTTAGGACCAATCCAACTGGTCTTTTCTCAACTCTGCATCAAATAAATGAGGTAATAAAAGAAAAAAAGTCTTCAAAAATGTCAAGAAAGATAAAGAAAGCTGATAATTATTCCAAATGAAAAGAAACTACAGAAACAAGACAATTAAAAATAATACCAATACCGGAATGGATCCTGGATCAGGAAAAAAAAAATGCTATAAAAGGACACTATTGGGACAGTTGATGAAATCCAAATATGGATTATATAAAGTTTTGTACCAATGTTGAATTTTTATCTGAAAAATTATAAAATTGTACTGTTTATTAAAGAGAATGTCCTGGTTCTTAGGAGATACACACTGATGGGTTTAGGGGTAAAGAGGCCTGATATCTGCAACCTGCACTCAGATGGTTCAGGAAAACACCCAGACACACATGACCCAGACACACATGAAGAAAGGAGGGAATGTGGAGTAATAAAGCAAATATGAAGCAAATATAGCCAAATATCAGCAAATTAGTGGATCTGAGTGAAGGTATACTGGAGTTCTTTGGATTATTCTTGCAACTCTTCTCAAAGATTGTCTCAAACTAAAAAGTTTAAAAAAATGTAGTAGATATACTTGTAATGTGGATTTTTTGCCAACATACAGTACTGGTAAGAAAAAAAAGCAAGGCAACGAAGTCTGCCTATACCTGTGCATCCCCTCTATGTCCAATTGGTTTTAAAGAAAAGAACACACATATATATATGCTCAGGCTACACAAAGACATTAAGAATAGTCATTTTTTGACACCTAGATAAGGGATCCTGACAACTAGAGGTATGGACTCTTGCAGCTATTTGATATTTGCGGTCTATTCACAGAAGTGCTTCTTGAAGTCACCTCAGTGGTGCATTGGCAGAACTTTTGCAGGGAAGTTCTCCCAAGTCCTTCTGTTTCTCCTAAATCAATGGAATCAATGGAATCTGCTCCTTTTGCAGGGAAGTTCTCCCAAGTCCTTCTGTTTCTCCTAAATCAATGGAATCTTGTTAAAATTTCATTTTGTTTGATGCCAGGAGGTAAAAATACAATTCATGTTCATATTTATCTTGTATATAGGAAACTTTCTAAAGTCTAATTTTAATATAGGTTTTTGGATTTTCTTCAAATACATTCAAGTCTTCTACAAAAAAGAGTCTTTTTTCCTTTCTGATCCCTGTGCCTTTTATTTCTTCCATTTTGAACCAGCTCCTCCAGTAAAATGCTGAATAGAAGTGGGTAATGGTAGGTATCTTTAGTGCATTCTTGAACTAAGAGGAAAAGCTTTGAATAATTTGCCATTAGTATGATGTTTGCTAAAGGCAGTTTTTTTGAGAGTTGTAATCATGAATGGATATTGAGTGTGATCAGGTTTTTCTGTCTTTTGAGATAATCATGAGATTTTTCTTCTTTATTCTGTTATCATGCTTAATTATTGATGATGGTCATATATTTAACCAATCTTCTATTCCTTGGATAAACCTATCTTGTTTATGATGTAGTATCATTTTCAAGAATTGGAGGATTCTATTTGTTAATCTTTTGTTCAAAATTTTTTATGTCTAGTCATGAGTAAGATGACCTATATATTAATGTTCTGAACTATGTGACAAATCACCACCAAATTAGTGATTTAAAACAACACACATTTATTAT